AGTGTCAGTGCTTTGGGTTGAAGCTAACCTCAGAAACTGAAGCGGGGGCTCTATCATCTTGCTGTTTTTAGAGAGATGGTCAGCAGATGGCACTAGTTTACCACTCTTCCCTTGCACTCTGGAGAGGCTGTCAATTAGTTCTTGAAGCTAACCGAGTGGAACCCCAATGTTTCAAATCCTGAAGACAGTGTCAGGAAACACTTTGGAGTTTTGTTCAAACTGGCTGTTCTAGAATTAGCTCTGGTAGATCAAGTTGGCCTTGAACTCACAGAGATTCACCTGCCTCTGCCTCCCAAGTACTGAGATTAAAGGTGTGTGCCACCACTGCCCAGCTTGTTTGAATTTTTTTTTTTTTTTTCGAGACAGGGTTTCTCTGTGGCTTTGGAGGCTGTCCTAGACCTAGCTCTTATAGACCAGGCGGGCCTCAAACTCACAGAGATCCACCTGCCTCTGCCTCCCGAGTGCTGGGACTAAAGGCGTGCACCACCACTGCCTGGCCTTGTTTGAAATTTTTAAAGGACACAGATAGTAATTTTCTACCATGAGGACAAAAATGAAGCATTCTTAGTAACTAAAACTAAAGTTGGAGGATTCACACTTCCTGTTTTCAAAACTGCAGCCACCAGGAAGGCCAACCATATCACTGTAATAGATAAAGCAAAAGAATAGGCTGGAGAATTCATAGATAAGATCATTTACACTCAATTGATTTTTATCAGCACTTCCAAGACCATTCAGTGGAGAAGAGTTTTTCCACCAAACGGTGCTGGGTCAACAGGATAACCATGCTCAGAAGAATGAAGTGGAGCCTATCCTTTATATCATATACAGGAATTGAGCCAAAATGGCTCAGAGACAAGGGCAAAGGTGTGGCTCTTACAGTGTACTGCCTAGCAGGCATGAAGCCTGGGTTTGATCCCCAGCACTGCATAAACAGGGTGTTGCCTCCAGCTTTAGTCCTCTCAAGCTCCACAGACTCTGTTCCTGTCTCCACAATCTGTGGCTTTGCTCTAGCACCCCAGACACTTGAGCTCTCCAGACCTCCTATTTATGAACAGAGCAACGGGCTTGGCCCCTCTCTGTAGGATCCTGCCTGTGCTTTTTCCTACTGCTATGTCACATCTATCCTGGGTAAAATTCACTCTCGGTACTGAGTGATCAGCCAGCATAGCACTGGCTGAGAATAAAAAGCTGAGGGCTTTTCTGAGGTGAACATTTGGTCCAGAAAATAAGCAGATGCCATAGTGGAGAACAAGCCATGAGTCAGTGGCTGTTCTGTGTTGGCTTGTTTGTTTTGCTGTGCTGGGGAAGGAACCCGGGACTGTGTGCACGCCAGAGGCAGTTCTACTTGATTATAAACTGCAATCCCAGGAGCTAGGCAGATGCTGTTCTGAGAGGATGAATCAAACACAGCACGGTGGTGGCCAAAGGAGCTCAGACTGACCAGGGAAACATGGGAAATTTTTTGTCCTGATTATAAATAATGCTTATCTTCCTCCAACCCTCTCTCCCCTGTTTCTAGGCAGTTTTGAAATAGTAGAGATGGTAAATTCATCCTATCCCAATTCCATTCCCCATCTCCTGACTGGTTGCTTGTTTGGTTTTGATTTTTCAAGCAGAAACTTATGTAGCCTAGGATAGCCTTACTTTGAAGCTTAGGCTGGCCTTGAGCTCCTGGTTCTTCAGCCTCCACTTCCCAAATACTGGAAGACAATTTAGGCTTGTGTGCTCCCATGCCTGCTCCCTTCCCAGGATTGCTCTAGAGCCACCCACTGACCTTGATTTACTATTTAAAACCCTTTAAAGCAAAACCAAATCCTATCCCTGTGGACCAGTTGTTTCACTCCAAAGGCAGGTGTTACCCATACGGGCTGCAGTCTAGAAAAGTGGGGTGTCTGTAGAAGAACTTGAAAACAGAGAAAGAGAAAGCCCGTCATTTGGAGCAAGGTCAGCCAGTCCAGCTGAAGGAGACAACAGACTTGGGAGAAGCCAAAGGACCACTTGGCTAGAATGCCAGATCCTAGGCCAGCTATTGTATAATCTCCTTCCTGCAAGGAAAAAAAAAAAGCAAAATTTGGGACATATTTTAAGTCTTGCTCAGGAGCCCAGAACAGGCTCACAAACTCCAGGAATCTGCTTTTCCCTGAAAATGGAAAATCTGAGCTAAGAGAATATGATTTGCTGGAGGTGCCGAGCCCTGTAACTTGGGGACACTGGGCCTTGCACCACCTTGTTCCTGCGTTCCAACACCCCTGTGCTCTGAGCATCTGGTGTGATTTAAAGGCTGAAGGACAGCATGGCAGCCTCAGGGTTAAAGCACAGCATCTGCCCTGGCTCTGCTGGGCTTCAAGCAAGAACAAAAGCAAGAATAAAGGAACACACACAGGACAAGGGATGCCACTCAGTTTGTAGAGGACTTGCCCAGCATGCATAAAGTCCTGGGTTTGACCTCACAGAATTGCATAAAAGTGGGTACATTGGTGTATTCCCCTAATTCTAGTACTTGGGAGATAAAGGTAGAAATACCAGGAGTTCAAGGTCATCCTAAGCTTTATAGTAGTAAGTGTGAGACCAGACTTCACTACAAGAAACACTATCTCAAAAGAGAAATAGACATAATTAACGGTCTGATGTAATTGTGGGGACTAGGAGATAATTCTTCCCAGAGTTGGTGGAGAAGCAGATCACCCTCCATTCAATACCTTTGGAGGCTAGGGAGGTGGCTCAGCAATTAAAAGTATTTATTGCTCACAGAACCTATATCAGGTGGCTTAAAACCACCTCTAACTCTAGTTCCAGGGTATATGATGCCGTCTTGACTACTTGGGCACCTACATGTATGTGGTGAAAATAAACTCACACAGGTACGAGCATATACACATAAATTTAAAAAAAATCTTCAATCACCTACAGTTTCACATACACCAGAGTTCTAAATTTTCCAAAGAAATAAATGTCAAGGGACTGGAGAGGTAGCTCAGTGGTTAAGAGCACTGGCTGCTCTTCCAGGGGACCCTGGTTCAATTCCCAGCATCCACATGGCAGCTCACAACTGTCTGTAATTCCAGTTCCAGGGGATCTGACACCCTCTCACAGACATACATGCAGGCAAAGCACAATGAACATAAAAATAAGTTATATTAAATAAACTTTAAAAAGAAATACATGTTTATTGCATTTCAAGTAAAAACATTACCGTTTATTTCCTTATTTGACCACCATTTATATGTATGAACTGTGACAAAGGTTTTTGCTTATATCTTGTGGGACATGGCCAAGAAATATGCTTTATACTGTTCATTTGCTCCTCAGTATTAGATTATCATTTGTGAAGAGGCTGGCAAAACCATACAAAAATCAGTGTGTTTGCAATCGTAGCAAAACAAACAGCCAAAGCTGCAGAAGTTTACCCAATTCCTTTTGTTTCTTTTTAAAAGAGGATCTTTATTTTGACATCTTGGGGGCCATGTGCCAACCAGCATCACAAGATAGAGATAAGTAAAGGTACAAAGGAGCAAGCTGCACCAAAACAGATGTGTTTAAGTTAACGTGACAATTTGTGCAACAGTCTCACAACAGCTGTCACATGAGGTGGACAGAGAGGATTATGAAGAACCTACAAGACTTAATTGCTCAGAGGTTGTTGAGCATCCCCAGAAAATCTCAGGGGCACCACTTCTCCACGCCGGCGCAAGCCACCCCTGCTTGCCCGCTGTTGCCTCATGGAGGGTGCTCTTCCTTGGATGGTGCCTGGAACTGGGGACCTGGCAGGTATGCTTTGGAGGTACTGGAAGGCACTTTGGCGGCCTACCTGCCTCTCAGCACAGTTAAAGGTCAGGGCAATTCCCACATTGCTCTTCATGATTCTGGAAGAGCCATCAGAAGTGCCATCAAAGCACCGGCCAAGTGCTATTTCCTTAGCTGTACGGGGGTCCTGGTCAGTGACAGTGTAGATACCATAATTGTGGCCCAGAGGGTCCAGGGGTGCCAGCATGGTATACTCACTGGTGTCATTGTTGACTGCCAGTGGAAGGTGGTTGACCAAGTACTCATGCAGCATAGAGTTAACGCTGGCTCGATGGCAGCTGCCCTGGGGGATGACTTTCACTAATGTGCGGTCTACACGGTCTTGGTCATAGAGCATTCCACTGCACTTGAACTCCAGGCAGGCAGATGAGACATTAGGCTGGTCTCTATCCCGAGTACTCTTCACATCTCGGATCCCATATAGCTTTCCCACGGTCTGCCGATGGGTGCCCCCCATGTTGCGGGATCGTACATTCACCTCCAGTGGCCCCACAATCTTTACTTTGATGTAGCAAGCCCTGAACTCCATTGGCTTGGGCCACCATGCCAGGTAGTCTTCAGTCCAGCTCATGGGGTCATCTTCATTGAAAGGAACTGTGTTATAGTCATAGCGATCCCCCTCAATCTGATAGAACCGGAAGTGGGCCGCACTGGGTGGTGCCTCTTCACAGGCCCGAAGGTTCTCAAAGGCGTAGATGGGGCCATTGCTCTCTTCAGCTGAGTTAGGTCTTGGCTTGGCCATACTGATTTGGAAAGCCGTCTTTTTAACCCGTGGATCCTCATGGTCTGTCCGACGGTATTTAAGTTTGTTGAGGTAGGGTTGAGGGACACCAATTGCATTTGGGTTGAATTTGGGAGAAGATTCTACTGCCTCTAGTTCTTCTCCAGAAAGGCTTGCCAAGACATAGACAGAGTAAGCATCAGGGGACTGGTCATCACAGAAGGCAGGCAAGCAGGCCCCATTGGGGCCTGTGATGACACTGTCAAATCGGCCCCAGGCCCTGGGGTTAGATGAAAAGCCAGTTCTGGGCTCCAGATTGATCACTGAGACTACAACCCCCTGGATTTGCTCACTGGGCAAGAACCTCTCACTCCGGTAAGTCCTCACCTTGATGAAACACCTTCTGCTTTCAGGGACGTCCAGGTTAAAGAGCCTCCTCTCACGGATCTCCATGTTTCCTACTAGGAAGGTTCTCTCTTCCCTCTTGTTCCTTCTTTGGCTTTCAAATTGGAAATCACCTTCCTCTTCCCACAGCCCTGTGTCTGGGTTGAGCGACCAGAGTTTCATGGCTGGCACATGCTCTGGCATCTTGACCTGGGTCGAGTCAAGGTGGACCTTCACCTTGCCAGCATTAAGTGACTCAGAAGTGACCTCATCTCTGAAGTCCACAGAGAACATACCGTATGTTCGAAGGGGAAAGGTGTCTCCTTCATCATTGATGAAGTTCAGGTCACTCTGGGCAGCTGTTGCGGTGGAAATATTCCGAGGATCCAGGAAGGTCACACTGGCCTTCACCTTTCCTGTGAAGGGCTCCCCATTCTGCCTATAGAAACTTTTGGATGGAATCTCCAGTTCAGCCACAGGATCTTCACCAACCACCTCTCCCAGGGGGATAATGTTGGTTTCCATGGCTTCCAGCGTGATAGGCTCTTTCCGCCGAAGCATCTTGATCTCATGGAACACTGCACTTCCCTTTCTGTTGAAGGGCAGCACTTTGGTAGTGTTGACAAATTTCTGCAGCCTGTCCACAAATGTGAGCACCAGCCTTTCTGTATCCTGGGGGATGTGAAGGGTGAATGTGCCCTTGTAGCCAGTCATACTCACACGGTTATTCCCCATGTACACATGGCCAAAGCGCATGGGCTCCCCATTGTCAGCAGCACTGACTCGGCCCCGAACGATGCTCCGTGTCTCTGCACATCGCTGGCAGCTGCACTCCACAGCCACTTTGGTGGGCAATGTGTACCCACTGCACTGGATCACCCTCTCCTCTGTTCTGGAGATACCACAGCAGTTCTCCACAACATCCCGGCACCGGATCCCATTGTCTTGCTGCCCTGCGCAGGTCTTGATTGGGCAGCGGCCTACATCATAGTAGAAGGAGTTGGTGGCATTCTGGAAGCAGTCATGGGGCAGCCGGATAAGGTAGCCCTCAGGGGTTGGGTCGCAAGGACTCTCATCATGTGCTAAAGAAGAAATGGTATGGATGCTAAAGTATAAATTCATGTCTTACACAAAGTACCTCAACTCAATGCTTTTTTTCCCTCTCTCTTTTGCTCCCTCTCTCCCCCTCTTCATTTTGTTTTTCTTTTGTTTTATTGAGACAGGCTTTCCCATAACCCAGGCTAGCCTTAAACTGGTGCTGTAGTCTAGGATGATATTAATTTTATCCTCCTGCCTCTACCACCCAAGTGCTGAGATTGCCAAGTGTGTGCCTCCAAACCAGACTGACCTGGAGCAGGGTACTGCTGGGGATAGAGCCCGTGCCCTTGTGTATGCTAGACAGTTGCTCTACCACCGAGCCACATCCCTTCCTTTCTACAGTTTTCAAAGGATTTATGTACCTGTAACCCTGACTCTCGCAGAACTTCCTTGGGGGATATGTGACAGCCATTACTAACCCTGTTTTATACATGCACAGGGAAACAATAGTTACTGAGGTCAGTAGAATAGCAGTTCTCAATGGAGGGATCTTGAAAATGTGTGAGGGTATTGAGATGATTATCAACGAAATTGGAGGTATTGCTGGCATATAAGAGAAAGGAGCTGTTCATGACCTGTGTCCTGCAATGACTGGCACTCCCTGCATCCTCAGTGATTTTCACACATCCCAAGAAACATTCATGTAGGCAGAAACCCTGTTTCTGTTGTTTTTATTTTCTATACATGGGTGTTTTGCCTGTGTGTATCTGTGCACACAGAGGCCAGAAGACTGTCCATGGAAGCCAGAAAATAGCATTGGATCCCTTGTAACTAGAGTTACAGATGGTTTTAAGTGGCCATGGAAGAATAGAACCTGGGTCCTCTGGAAGAGTAGCCAGTGCTTTTAACCATTAAGCTATCTCTGTTGCCCCAGAAACCCTGGTTTGTTGTTTGTTTGTTTTTTTGGTTTGGTTTTTTGAGGCAGGGTTTCTCTGTTTCTCTGTTACAGCCTTTGCTATCCTGGCACTCGCTCTGTAGATCAGGCTGGCCTCAAACTCACAGAGATCCACCTGCCTCTGCCTCCCAAGTGCTGGGACTAAAGACATGTGACACCAACACCCGATTCAGAAACTTTGTTTTAACTGGGAATGGCAACATACACTTATAATCCTAGTACTTGGGAGGTGGAGGCAGGAGGATCATAAATTCAAGGTCATTCTTGGCCATATAATGGGTTTGAGGCCAGCCTGGACTATATAAAACTTTGTCTCAAAAATAAATAACAAAATAGGGCTGGAGCGATGGCTCAGGGGTTAAGAGCACTAACTGTTCTTCCAGAGGTTCTGAGTTCAATTCCCAGCAACTACATGGTGGCTCACAACCATCTGTATTATGATCGGTGCCCTCTTCTGGCACACACTGTATACATGATAAATAAATAAATAAATCTTTAAAATAAATAAATAAATAACAAAATAAACAAACTCTGTTTAAAGTAATGGGAGCCTGGAGTTTCCCCATGGCCTCTGCTATACACTGAAGTTCTCAAGACTCCAACTACTGCATGAATCAATCTAAGACTCCACTTTACTTGGCTTGGAACAATGCCCAGAATTGTTTCTCAACTGAAAAAAGCAATGTCTTTATAATAGTAGTATTCAAGGACTAAACCACTGGGATGCTATCTCTGTTCCCATCAACCCGTATAGGTCACTTTCACGGTCACTCTTGAGTAAGCACAAAAGTCTGTTCTCTCTGTTTATCTTCTAAGTTATTGTGCCAAAGCTTTTAGCTATTGACATATTTTGCATTAACACCATTTTCTCTTTAGTTCCCCTTTATGTTAAACTTAAAGCACGGTACACATATATTTAGAAAGAATATTCAGTTGTTATCTGTAAACTGAACTTCTGAATAGTAAAGTATCATGAAGGGGTCACTGTGCCAACAGGGTGTGTTGCTGTGATGACTGGCAGACTTCATGCCTCCTCCGTTAAGGCGCTTTGCCTTGTCTGTGCTCAATTTTTTGTTGCTCAATTGTCTTAGAGTCTGTGAAATATTCAGTAATTCTTCCAATGAATTTTCATTTCCTCCATTTTGTTTTGTTTTGTTTTGTTTTGTTTAGGCCAATTCCTAAGATATCCTCTTTTCCCCACTTTCCAAGGACAGGTTTGACAGGCCTTTGGCTTGAAGTCTTTCCACCTCCAATTTTCCTCTAGAAGCCAGCTTTAATCAGGTCACCCGTTCTTTGTATAACTCATTCTCAGTTCCCCGCTTCTATAGCCCCACACTCCGTGATACTTCTCCCTCCACACACATCGTGCCTCTAAGATCAGGGTTTTCCAACCTTCACTGCAGAGTGGAATGAAATGGGGAGCTGTGAAGCCATGCATGCCCAGCCACATCTCAGACAAAAATCAGACTCTTGGGGGTCACTGCAGAATATTAGTTTGGGGGGTTATTTTAGGGGGAAGGCTGGCTTTTTGAGATAGGGTCTCATATAGTCAAGGCCAGCCTTGAGCCTACTGTGTAAGAGAAGATGAACATGAATTCCTGATCCTCCCTCTACCTCCCTAACGCTGGGATTGCAGGCATGTGCTACTATCCCTTAGCCACCCGGAAGGTCTATTTCTTGTCTATTAGGGCTTGAGCTCCTATTTTAGGTACATCTTTCTGAATTTCAGGGACAGCTTGACAGAATCTCATATAGCCAAAGCTATCTCAAACTCATAATATAGCTGCTCATGACCCTGTCCTTCTGACCCTCTACTTTTATCTTCTAGGTTTTTGCAGTGCTGGGAACTGAACCAAGGGCTTCATTCATGCTAGACAAGTACTCTACCAACTGAGTGATATTCCTAGGCCATGCATATTTTTGTCTTGGTTGAATTTTATTTACATTTCTATACACACACCTCAAATGATGGTGTTGTGTCAGCAAGATATAGTTTTGCACTGTATCCCACAGGGTTTGGCACTGTGCACACCATAGAAAATCCCAAGTTTTTCATGCCCAGTGATACTGACTGGAGTTCTCAGCCAGCCTGTTGCAGACCCAGGACCCTCAAGACCCGCACAGGCTTACCAATGACAGTCAGCTGGGTCACCTTGGACTTCACAGCCCCAGCATCACTCTGTGCCTTACAGAAGTACTCCCCTGCCTGGTCCTGCTGCAGATTCCTCAGCACCAGCTTGCTCTCATGCTTGTAGAGGGAGGGATCCAGCAATGTGTTGTTGTGGTACCTGTAAGGATGCAGAGGTGGAGTCCAAGCGGGCCATGGGAGAGAAGGTAAACCTGAAGATGTGTCAGGAAGCAGGGGACTGGGGAAGGTTCACTTTCAGCTTGGCTTGCCCAATAGCACCTGAGTGGCTGGGAGTTGGGAAACTGCTTCTAAGTCCCAGCCCCACCTTTTAATTGATGGGGGAACTTTAAACAAATCCTCTCACCTCTCTGAATTACAGCTTTCTGCTCTGTAAAACAAGAGCAGTGATCTCCAGCTGAGCTCCCAGAACTATTGGCATTCTACCCAAGCTAGTTAGTGGCTATAAGTGCTTATTGGAGGATAAAGAGCTCACTCTCAGCACTGGGGATTCTGAATTGCTGGGCAAAGCAGGTCTGAAGAATTTTGCTGATTGATCTAAGAACATGCATGTTAGGACCCTAACCAAGGTCAAGAGACATTTTGGAGCTGGGCGTGGTGGTACATGCCTTTAATCCTAGCACTTGGGAGGCAGAGGTGGGTGAATCTCTGAATTCAAGGCCAGCTTGGTCTACAGAGTAATTTCCAGGAGAACCAGAGCTACACAGAGAAACGCTGTCTCATAGAGACAGAGACAGACACTCATAGAGACAGAGACAAACAGACAGACAGACAGACAGACAGACACACACACACACACACACACAGAGAGAGAGAGAGAGAGAGAGAGCGAGAGAGAGAGAGAGAGCGAGAGAGAGAGAGAGAGCGAGAGAGAGAGAGAGAGAGAGAGAGAGAGAGAGAGAGAGATCTTGGGAGAATGAGCTGAGCTTTGAGGTGTTGAGGTATAAGAGAACTGGCTGGTTGTCTGGGCAACCTCAACCCTGCAGGCCCCCACTTATAAATGCTATCATTCAGCTCTGCACCAGTAGCCCACATATACCTTTATTCTATCAGCCATTGCTACTGTTTATATACACAAGGCAAGCAAGCCCTGATTTCTAAGAGAAGTGGGCAGGGTAGCTGGCAGAATACACACCAGAAGTACTTGTCCGGACTGGGTTTCCCTGTGGCTTTGCAGCACAAGGACACACTCTGCCCGGCACGCCGTGCTTTCGTCTCAGGGTTCATTACAATGTATGGAGTCTCTAGGAGAGAAGATGGAGAGAGTAGATGAGAAACAGTGTCTGCATTTCTTATTTTGTGACAGGCTCTAGAGAGCCCTGCTTTCTTCCTTAGGGTCTTCGATGGCATTGAAATTGTATGGCTTTATCCCATTCCCTTCCCATCTCCAGTGCCCCCCCCCCATGCCCAAAGGAACTGATCCCCAGTGGATTCCCCTCCTCCACCCTCTCCATCTGGGACCTGCTTCTACAAACTTCTCTGGTAGCATCTGGATGGGACAATAGAGAATGCAGGGGACCTCATGCCAGCCATGCTCTAAGTGATACAAAGGATGGAACTAATTGCCTCACTCCTGCATTATTCATGATCTTCTGCCCCCAGCAGACCTTTTTTTTTTTTTTTAACTATTCTACACCATTTCTGAGCTTCCCAAGCTTCCTCAATGACCTACAAACCTTAGTGATAATTGGCTATTTTGGACAAGGTGATCAGGGAAGTCCTCATGCCTCAGGGTGCTGGACCTACCAATATCTAGGAGAACACCCTACACTGAGTACACACAGCCAGTGCAAAAGCCCAGAGGCAGGGATGTGTCTATATTTGAGAAACAGACAAAGAAGCCATTGTGGCTATAACAGATTGATTCTGCATAATAGAAATAGAGAAGAAAAATTAGGGAAAGCCAGAGGATATAGGAACTGCGGGTCATGGTATAGATTTTGGGTTTTACCCCCGACTACCAAAGGACATTCAATCACCTGCCCTCACAAACTCTGCATTGATGGTAGCTGACTTCAGGCTAGTCTTCGGCATTGTCAACACAATTGGAGCAAACTTGGTCTTGGTGATTTTCAGGATGCTCTTGCCATCAGGACACAAGCCAGGAACTCGGAACCTCCCGCCGCTGTCTGTCTGGGTCAGCATCTTTGGTGCCTTGGCCAGTAGGTAGACAGTGGCCCCTGGAGCTGGGGCACCTCCAGGGAGGGAGATGGCCCCATGAAGCATGAAGTCTTGGCACATGCAGGCATCACAGTCAGCATTCACCTGACCCATGGGGCAGGTCAGGTCACAGGCTACGGGACAAGGAACCATATCAGCAGGACTTTATGGATTCTGACCCATCTTCACCCCTATCCTAGCCTGGATGCTCATACCTGCTTCCTTACCTCCTTGGGTCTTTCTTAATCCCTCCTTCCTGCCTGTACAGCTAATTCCTATTCACCCCTCAGAGTTAGCCCAGGAAACTTCCTCTAAGCAACTTCCTAATTTTCTTTCTTCCTTTCCTTCTTCCCTTCCTTCTTTCCTTCTTTCCTTCCTTCCTTCCTTCCTTCCTTCCTTCCTTCCTTCCTCCCTCCTTCCCTCCCTTCCTTCCTTCCTTTTTTTTGTCTGTGTATGTGTGTAGGGTTCAAGACAAGGTTTCTCTGTGTAGTCTTGGCTGTCCTCGTATACCAGGCCTCTGCCTCCCAAGTTCTGGGATTAAATGTGTGCCCCACCACTACCCAGCTGATTTCTTAAACTGTGATAATTGACGATACCCTGTGTTCCTACCTGTCCTGTATGTGTCCCATCAGAGCAAATGACATGTGCAGTTAGTGACAGATGAGTGAATGAATGACCTAGTCTCATGCTGACCCTCTAGTCCATCCTTCAGACTATTTCTTTTTCTTTTTGATTTATTTATTTATTATATATACAGTGTTCTGCCTGCATGTATCCCTGCAGTCCAGACAAGGGCACCAGACTATATATTACAGATGGTTGGGAGCCACCATGTGGTTGCTGGGAATTGAACTCAGGACATCTGAAAGAACTGGCAGTGCTCTTAACCCCTGAGCCATCTCTCCAGCCTCCTTCAGATTATTTCAATCTCACCTGTCACAGAAGCCCAGTGCCCAGAGGGAGGTAGGTACCTGTGCAGGCCTTGCTCACACAGAGCTGGCCCTCCTCAGTAGCCTCACTGCACAGTGACACTGTCTGTGCCAAGCAGGTGCGGGTACGGGTCTGAACCCCAGTGTGACCACAGGCAGCTGAGCACTTGCTCCAGGGAGACCAAGCACTCCAGATGTGCTCCATATCTCGTCGCAAGGACCCTATAAGATGAGAGCAGCAGAAGTCACTTTCTTCCCCAGGGGACTGGGTCAGGAAGTCTGACCCCAGCACTGTTTCTTCTCTGCTGAGAGAGCACAGGTCCCTATTGACATCATAAATCTCACTGATATTTCTATTTATCTCAATGAATTAAAAATAATTTTTGAGCTAGGTGGTGGTGGTGTACACGTTTAATCCCAGCACCTGGGAGCCAGAGGCAGGCAAATCTCTGTGAGTTCAAGGCCAGCCTGGTCTACAGAGTGAGTTCCAGAACAGCCAGGGTGTTATACAGAGAAGCCCTGTCTCAAAAACCATAATAAAACAATAATAATAATAATAATAATAATAATAATAAGTAGTAGTAGTAGTAGTATTTAGTATTAGTATTTTGGTGGGGGGACAGTCTCATGTAACCAAGACTGGCCTCCAATGTCTGATCTTCCTGCTTCTACCTTCTGAAGGCTGTAATTATAAGGAGGCAGGGTACCACATGTCCAGTTTAGGTGTTGCTGGAGACAAAACCTATTGCTTCGTAGATGCTAAGCCAGCACTACAATGATTTTTTTCTAATAAGGGAAGTCAAAAGTCTTGAGGAAGTTGTGTTTCTACTTGCACAGAGGCAACATATGGGTGAAAGGGTTTTTTGTTGTTGTTGTTGTTGATAATGATTTTTTTGTTTGTTTTTGCCCAGCACTCCTGTCTTAGGACCTATGCTGTCAGTGGCTCATCATCCTCCACTAGTGTGAAAACAACCACATGCTGGCTGCAGACAGGCCTCCTAGAAGTTAAGGGTCTGTATGTAGTTCACAATGACTGAATAGTCAGACTCCTGCCTACCTCCTCACCTCTCAAATTAGTCCCTGTAATTGTCTGACTCAGGTCTCCAAGTGCTGGGATTCTAGGTGTGTCCCTACATTCATGGGGGTTTTGATGAAGTTTATATGAGATAATGAAGCTTGCTTTTGCATATTTATAATCCCAGCCACTTGGGACAGAGGCAGGACAATCACAAGTTGTAAGACCTGCCTGGGCAACTTAGCAAAATCCCATCTCATTATTTAAAAATAAATAAATAAAAAGGAAGAAGGTTGGAGATGCAGCTCAGTAGTAGAGTGCTTGCCTAACATAATGTCCTGGGTCCTCCAATCTCAAGCACCTCCAAAATAAAAAAAAAAATGAATAAACAAACAACACAGTTGCACACAGTAAGCTAGAGAGTCAAACCCTAGAAGTTAGTCCCCAAGTAAGCTGTCTTCCCTACTGAGTCACTGGAACTCAACACAATAGGTTGGCTAGAGCAGTTGGGGGCGGGGGAGGGGGTGCCACTCTTATCTTGCCACTCATGGTGTTCAGTGGCTGTTAAGAGCATATGCAAGTTATGTGCTATTCAGATCCTGGCCTCTCCAGTGCCAAGGCTGCTGGGAGACAAAAGGCTGGGGCCAGTCAGACTCACCTGGTGGGCAGAGGAAGCGCACTGTATAATTGGAGCAGTTCTGGCCTGGTCTCTGTTCCCTGTTGAGGCACCAGAAGCCCTCACGGGGACTGCCATGGACCACCTGGCCAGTGCTGCCCGCAGGCATCCAGTCAGTGGTCCGGGCCTCTAGCCGCAGGGGACGGGCACACACACGCTCCCCATAGTAGAAGCGAATAGCATCCAATCGCTCATAGTCACCCTGCCCACCTGGGTGGTCGATGTTAAACCAAGTTGTCCACTCACCAGGACCTGAGAGACAGAGCCAGGTTGAGGAGGAACCATCCCTAAACAGCAGGTGAACTCCAGCTATCCTTTCCTGATGTATTTCCCACCTCCACACCCCATCTTCTATTTCACCAGAAACTCTTCAATCCCTTCTCTGCCTCACTCTGTGGAGCCCCCCATTCCAGCTCTCATAAGCCTGGTGGGCCATGCTATGGACTTTCTTGTCTAATCTGTCTTTCTCCCACTCTAGCCCTTTCTAACACTGTAGATGGGGTAAACTCTTTCCACGTGGCTTGGACCATGGCATTCCCTGGCACAAAAATCTCTTAGAAGGCAATTAGGGTGTTGGTGAGACTCCTGTGCTATTTTTCCACCCTTGTCTACCCTTTTCATACCCACCAGCTCTAGCATGTTAGCACCCCATTCCTGGAATATATCAGGTAGCTTCCTGACTCTGAGCTTTCTTATGCTGTACTCCTCTGCCTGGAGAGAACAGCCAAGTGTCTGGTTAAAGTCCAGTTTCCATGAAATCCTAACATCCTTTCCAGGCTTTCGAGACTGGTCTAGCAAGCTCAGTGAAGACCCCCTCCCTGCTCCAATGGAGACTCACTCTCTGGGGAATCAGCAGGCTTGGCGAAGTTGTTAGAGGTCCTCTTCGAAGGCTGGGCTCTTCTCACTGACTGGGTTAGCATTGTCTGTCTCCCTGTAGGACAGAAGAAGAGAGGCTCACAGGGTTTGGAGATGCAGAGAACTGGTCTGGAGAGGTGAAGACAGCATGAATCCTGAGCAAGGGTTCAAATCCCCACTCTGCCACTCATTGCTATTGAAACCCCCAAAAGGCTTTATTTCTCAGCCCATTTCCCATAACACACATTTTGAGGCTGGCATGGAGGACATGCTCTACAAATGACAATTTTCAGTCTTGTTCTAGAAATGGATGAGCAGCTAGACTTGGTGGTACATGCATGTCACCTCAGCACCTGGGAAGTAGGGGCTGGAGGGTCAGAGATTGCCCTGTCTCAAGATACGCGAGCACACACACACACACACACACACACACACACACACACACACAGAGAGAGAGAGAGAGAGAGAGAGAGAGAGAAAGTGGTGCAGCTTTCAATCTCAGCACTTAGGATCTCTCAAGACTAGACTGGCCAACCAGGCTACTTAGTGAGACCCTGTCTCACCAAAAAAAAAAAAAAAAAAAAAAAAAAAAAAAAAAAAAAAAAAAGGAAGAGAGAAAAGGGGGGATCAGCAGGAGTAGAAGGGAGACATGGGGGGAATGGGAACTAATTTGTATCAAGATCTATCACACACATGTATGAAAATGACATAATGAAACCCATTACTAAGTATAATTAGTATATGCTAAAAATCCTTTTAGGGCCAGGCAGATGTCTGGGCAGGTAAAGGTACTTGCCACCAAGCCTGACACTCTGAGTTCAATCCCAGGGAAGGAGAGAATAGACACTCAAAAGTTATTCTCGGATCTTCCCACATACATACACACAGGAATAATAAATCAACACATAGATAAAAATTTTATATGGGGCCAACAGATACTTTAGGTAGCTAATAGGTTGGGACTCCTGATAGGGAATCTAGATCTGTCCTGGAGAAGATAGAGCCTTATTTTCCTGTCCTATAAAGTAGGGACACTAACTTCCCCATCATAGGGTGCTGCTGGCCTGGGGGGTCCCATGAAATGAGACACCAATATCTCTGGAGAGGGTTGCAGACTTTGCCACTTCCTAACTAACCTCGGGAAGGCTGTTTAAGTCACCTGTCCTCATAAAAAGAGGACTGTAAATTCATTCACGATGGGAGGTGGTTGCGCACGCCTTTAATCTCAGCACTCCGGAGGCAGAGGCAGGTGGATCTCTGTGAGTTCGAGACCAGCCTGGTCTACACATTCCAGGACAGGCTCCAAAGCCACAGAGAAACCCTGTCTGGAACCTGCCTCCCCCTCCCCCCCACCACCCAGAACAAGGCCTAGCATAAGTCATATGCTGGATAAATGTTAGTAAGATATTCTAGCTCAATGCCTGGCATAAGGGGTGCTGGTCCCTTTCTCTTGATAGATTGGCATGGAGATCCATCATCCCATAAAGGACACAGTGAACTGACTAGGCCAGTGGTCTTCATTGTTCAGACCACTGCCTGAGGATGAGCAGAGGGCCCTTAGGACAGGGGCTGCCTTCTCCAGCCCTTCTCTACATAAAGCTGGGTTAAGGGCTCCAAAAGCAGGAGAAAGGAAAGCAGAGGCCTGCAAAAGCATTGAAAGGCAATTAACTCCCAGGCAAGGAGCCAAGTCAGAATTCTGTGTTGCTTAATTGGGGTGATGGGAACCCTTTTAATCAACATAATCTGATTTCCCCTCAGATGGCTGAATGTTAATCATCTTCGAAAACAGCAGCTGCCAAGGTGGAAAGGGCGAGGCAGGAGGCGGGAACACACAGTGCTGGCACTGAGCAGGAGCTGCCTTTGTTCGTGCATCTGTGGTCACGAGCCTGCAGGGCGTGCAGCTTTAAACGAGGGTTGTGAGCAGCCTTTGCATTAGCCGTGTGATTAGATATGAAAAAAGGCAAGTGAGATGGGAGAGTGAGAGTCTCCATAGGGGTGCAGACACCTCAGGCAGTCAGCAGCTCCACCAAGCACCTTCTTTTTGATCTTTGGGTCTCCTCTGGGAACAGAGAACAAGGAAACCAGGACAGTTTCCGGTGTGTCCATCAAACTTGGCTTTGGGGTATAAAGGAAACTGAGTTTTTAAGGCCAGAAGAATTTTCACACAACTGAAAACAGACCAGCCCCAAACCTCCTTCTGAGAACGCTGTGGTTCCCCTGCGACTCCCTTTTGCTTTGGGTGCCAGGAAGCTGGGAGCTAAATTTGGTGCACTGGGGCAGAAACTTTCCTATCTTTTTTCTTCCTCCCCATGTGTGACTATTCATCCTGGTCATATGATTCTGCTCTGTGAATTTTAATACTAAGAACAATCTCAGATTTGAGGTAGGAATAGAGTACAAGCTATCAAACAGCCTTAAATCATCATACCAGGCAGATACATAACTGGATCCCAGAACAGAGACAACTTCACTGTGGCAAGTAGAAGCTATAGGAGCAAGCTGAGACTTAGTGCATACCCAGCACGGTGGTGAACTCCAGGACCAGGAAAGAGAGTACCCAGGTCTTGGTTGCTGCCATCTTTCCCTCAAGGCCACGTAGAAATGTCAGATAGGTGATGCTGCTTCACAAAGTTGGACCTGTGGTTCCCCAAGGATATTTCATAGAAGCAATGATCTGCAAAGAAGCAAAGGGATCATATCCCAGACTTCTGTATCACTATTTTTTTTTTTGAGACATGGTCTCTTGTAGCCCAGGCTGGCCTCAATGAATGCCATTGAATGTGTGTACACAAGGATGACTGTGAACTTCTGATTCTCCAGCCTCCATCTTCTGAGTGCTGGGATTACAGGCATGCACACCAGCTTTATGTGGGGCTAGGGATGGAACCCAGGGCTTCCTTCAAGCTAGGCAAGCACTCTACCAACTAAACAGCATCCCAAGCCCGAGTCACATCTCTTACAGCTCCAGCAGAAATAGCTCTTGCTCTCTCCAGGGTGAGGGGTAGATAGAATGGAGTCTTACTGAAGTGACATCTGCTTAAACAGCCAAACTGAGCTGTCTGGGAGACGTAAAAAAAAAAAAAAAAAAAACTGTGCCAGGTTTCACAGCAGACAGGCCACAAGGAAGGGTAACGATAAAGAAGTTCTTTGACAATAAGAGGGACCTGGCTTACTTCCAGCAGCTGCTGGGTAAGTTACTAATCACTTTCAAGACCCAGGCTTTTGTTTTGCTATTCTTTTATGGGGTTCATAGTTTTGTATAGGTGGCTGCATATTAATGCCATATAGTCCTGGTCCCAGCAACAGTGGACCCTCCTACAATAGACAGACAGGCTGAAAGCCACCTATGCCTCAGCCACACCACCTCCTATAGCCTCCAAGATCACATTCCCAGATGTGCACGGGCCACAGCTGGAGCCCATTCTGGCCTGTTTGTTTTCAACCTGGCTAGGAGCACCATAGCCAGGATCCAGCTAAAAGGAACTAGATGGGGTGCATAGTGAGAACCCAGGGCTCCCAATAGCTGGCAACATAGAGTCAGGACTGCAGGACTGAGGAGAGGTAAACATGCCCAGACATGATGTTAAAGAACTATGGGGTGGGCCTGAGTGGCCCAGGCTCCCTTAGGCTGCCCCCTTTTGTTAAAATGTCCCCCCCCCCCCCCGCCCCCGATTTAGGACCAACCCAGAATCTGATCTAAAAAAATCATTCCCTCCAGTTGCGTATGATGACTTATACCTACAATCCCAGCACTTGGGAGACTAAGGCAGGTAGTTGGCTGTGAGCTGGAGGCCAGCCTGGGTTATTACAGTGAGTTCCAGGACAGCCTTAGATTCAGAGCAAGACTTCATTTATTTTTTAAGTTACCTTCAATCACCAAGTCCAGTGCGGAAAGAAAGGGGAAAAAATATCTCCTTTCTGGAAGAAAAAGATCCCTTGAATTTTTGGATGTCTCAGGAGACGAACAAATCCACAGCACAGACTGACTGTCTAGCCCTGAAACCACTGTACCAGTTGGTTCAGGCTACTCCAAGCTCCAGGGCTCTGAGCGGGCCTGCAAAGACACAGCCAGCTCCGGGGCTGTCTGACAGGGCAAGGTGGCCTGAGGCACCTTGTGGAAAAGCCATTTCCCATCTGGCAGTCAACAGAGAGGCTCTCTACATCCCACCATTTCCTCCCAGTAGGCCTGACACTCAGGCTCTCCAACCGATACTCGCTGAAGCTCCTGGACAGTGCACGGTGGCTGGCCACGGTAGGAAAAGGTACAGAGACCAAGACGGGGCTATTGTGGGGACTGTGACTTCAGGTGGGCAGGGCTGAGGCCAGACTTTAGATGATAAGGAGTCAAAGAGAAGTGGCAAGCAGAAAGAGGCATCTTTTGTGGGAGATGAGGTGGTCAGCCAGCAAAAAAAAAAAAAGAACAATGAGGTGCCTAGGAATGGGGTGTAGGAGCAGAGCCAGGCAGTGAGATGCAGGGATGGGATAAGAGGGTGGGAGCTCACCGTGTCCTGAACAAGGCTCTTAGCTGGGGGATCAAGTCTTCTTCACCTCTGCAGCAGTCCAGCCGCAGGGCCTTATATAGCACAGCTGGTGGCTCGGCCCGTGGCAGTCAGCCACGGGAAGAAGCAAGGAAACCAGATCTGAGCATGAGGCTCCCTCCCTTCCCACATCCCCAGCAGCTCACAGGGGCAAGAATTTAACATCAAGATCCTTGGGGATGTGGGGGCGGCATGGGGGAGGATGCCATAGAGCAGCTATGGCCCAAGTGGGCTACAGCCTGGGCACCACAGTCTATGTGAGAGAGATAGATAGGGGTCAGGAGGAGGGCTGGACAGTGCCAAGTTCTGGGAAAGTGCCAAGGGGAATTCTCCATCTGGGCAGCATTTCATTGCTTGGGATGGTGTATGCTGGCTGAAGCTTGGTCTGCTGATCCCCCACATTCCCCAGCTGGCCAGACCATGCACAACAAGATCTTAGTACATACTCCAAAACTGTCTGGCACACAGGTCACCTCAGACTCTATGGATGAGTGTGTCTTGACTGTGCTGCGCAATGACTCGGCTTCTCTGGCCTTTGAAGGATCACTCAAGGACCTCAGAAGGGGTAAGGGACAAAGACTCTGGGGTACAAGATATCGCCTGGTAAGAACAGTTCATCCTTATGCCTCCCCACTTACATTTGTGTACCTCCCTACACACCCACTGGGACCAGAGAGATTCAGCAAGTGAAGTGCTTTAAAACCCTTCCAGAGCCGTGTGTGTGTGTGTGTGTGTGTGTGTGTGTGTGTGTGTGTGTGTGTGTGTGGGTGTGTGTC